GGTGACAGGGCACTTGGAAGTGGGGACCATTAGCTTTGTCAGCTTCAGGTGCAGTGGCCTATGGCCACGAGGACCCATCCTCGTGCTCTGAAGTTGGAGGAACCAGTGGGTTCAGTGGGAATATTTGCTGAGTGTATTTCATGGGCTGGGCATTGTCCTATTTGTACTGTGTGTTCCGTATTTAAGAGAGTGAGATCATGTAACCTCAATAGCCTCTTTAAAAATTACACTTTTTATTTTGAGATGTAATGTAGATTTCCATGTAGTCGTAAGAGATAATATGGAGAGGGCCTATGGACACTTTGCCTAGTTTTCCTTAATGGTTCCATCTTGCAAAGTTGGGGTACAATTAATTACTGACACACTAACAGTTTGAGGTTTATGTTATTGCCCTCATTTCCATTCATGATTAAGCTGGGGCTTAGAGAAGCACACAGGCCTGCCCAGGTCACCCACATGTTTAGTGCAGAGTCGGGAGGAATGTGGGATTGGTATTCCCAGGCAGTACCATTATGATGGTCTGTGGCAGGGAGCAGCATTCAATTTTCTTGTTTATTCATTCATTCAAGAAACATTTATTGAGTAACCTCTGTGGATCAGATGCTTTCATAAGGTTATCTGATTCTTCAGCAGTACTGAGAATCAGGTAATATTTTCTTTTTTTTAATCTGATTAAATTACCTCTGAGAAGTTATAACCCCCAACAAAGGAAATATAGCTCATGAAGGAGAGATAGTAAATTTGTACAGACCCCCTTTTTGTGTAGGTGGTACCCTGGGCATTTTACATTTGCAAACTTCCGTCATCCAGATATATTCTGGTAAGGAGAGAATTTTTTTATTTTTTAACTTAAGTATAGTCAAGTTTACAATGGTGTGTCAATTGCAAAGTGATTTTCAATTTTGAATAAAACAATATTTTTTGAGGAGGTTAATTAGGTTTCTATATTTGTTTCATTTTTTAAAATGAGGTACTGGTGTTTGAACCCAGGGCCTCGTACATGCTAAGCCGTGCTCTACCAGTGAACTGTACCTTCCTCCCCAAGGCAAGTTTTATTATCGCTTATTCTGCAGCTTAGGAGTTCAAATAAATTGGAGTTGAAATCCAGATCTTTTGATCCCACTGTGTTCCTTTTCTTTATATTCTGCTGAAGGGGTTTGGGGAAAGCAGTTCCTTTGTTCATTTCTTTATTCAGCATTTTTGAGCAGTGACTTTGCATCAGGGCCTGGCTAGGTGTTTCGAAACAGAAAACAAGAAATGACCCTTCTCTGCAGGGTCAGGAAGCCTAGACCAAAAGCTGGGTAATGTGATCCGAGCTACGGTAGCCATGTGAAGACTCTGAGGACAAACTGTACCCCCGGCTTTCCTTGGGCTTCCCTTGCCTTCTGGCTGG